GATTCTGTTGAACAAATGTCGTTCCATTTTAAAACGGCGTCTGAAGTACCTATCAGGAAATGCACTGTTATGGACAAAGTAATCATCCAACAGCTCTTCACCCCGTCGTTTCCTGCTTCTATCAAGGTTTCTTGAACGGCTGGGCCTGCATATCTGAGTAACAGTCTAGATGACTCGACGGGAATGTGAGGCTCTGGCCATTCTTGTTTCGTCATCTCTCCTTGTACGCTCCACATCCTCTTCCATCTCATTTTCGGCTATCTGAAGGTTGAACATTCCTTCAAATTGGTTAAACAATTCTTCCTCTTGCTGATCGATTTCCCACATCATCCTTGATGAAGAAGAAGACATTGTAAGGATGGATGGTGAAGAAGAAGCAGAAACTATGAATAATGAGATAGAGATGTTGAGAAAATTGGTGTGAGATTTGTGAGGATGGATGGTGGATTATATGGACGATTCAAAAAGGATTGGATTGTAGATAAGGCCACATGACATGCTATCATTCATTAAAAATCTGATCGAAATCTATCCTCAAAGATTTTGAAAAGATAATGACACGTGGCACGATCGTATTGGATAAAAATCTTATCAAAATCGATCTTCAATAATTATCTTTTCGGATAATGACACGTGGCATAATTTTGAACGAGTTAAAATATGATCGAAATCTATCGTCAAAGATTCTCAAAAGATAACGACACGTGGCACGATGACATTGGATAAAAATCTTATCGAAATCCATCGCTAAATAATTATTTTTTTTATAAAATGACACGTGGCGCAATGAGAACGATTTAAAAATTTTTATTCGAAATTACAAATAATTTTATTTTGTATTATTTAAACAAACAAAAAAAACTAATATTTTATTGCCTATTGCCAGGGGAAGGGCTCCAAGGGTGGAGATGCAAATGACAATTATTGTTCATTAAGGGTAGTTACTATTCATTAAAGGCAGTTACTGTTCAATAGGGTGAATTCAATAGTGGATTGCCAAGAGGAAGGGTTCCATGGGTGGAGTTGCTCTAAATTCTTTGCCCACGGCTTTTGATTGAATACAAGCATCCAAATTAGAAGGCGTTAACACCATTGATGTGTCACTTTTAATGTCCTGCACCATGAGTAACCAACCAAACACCAGCAATAGGCACAAAATCAGTACAAAACTCACATTGCAAGGGAAGCGAAGATATTTAGTAGGAAAATAGAAAATTTAAAATATAGCAGCAAAATTTTATTCCTATCAAGGCATCTACAATCACTATGAGCATATACTATCAAAGAATAAAACAATTGAGATTCACCATAATCAATCCGGAAAGACATAAACACCACGTTGGAAAAACATTCATTCAATTTAATTTTTTTGGCTAACAAATTTGTTAATTACTACATGCATTCATGTCACCACACTTCACCAATTGACGTTATCTCTTATTGGTATGGGGTAATGGTATGAACATCGATCATATATATCCTAGCAGCGGATTTGGTTGTGTAGAGTATAAATTAAGAGTCAGATTAGTTATGAAAATAATTTCAATCTATCTAACAGATATCCGTGAGGAAATTGTTCCCTGAATATGTTTATTTGGTGATTGATTTTGGTTGAATTGTGACGGGGTATGGAAATTTTAAAATGGTGATTGAATCACCCATTTACTAATGGAACCCAGAGAGAAAAAACGCAGAGAGAGAGAGAGAGATAGAATGGCTACAGAGAAATTGGGTGAAAATTAACCGAGCAAATAAATCCATTAAAAAAATTAACCCTAATTCCAACAAAATGCAAAGAAGTTAGGGCAAAAATTACCTTAATTTTTGTAGTAACAAAATGCAAAGAAGTGAGATATTTAGTAAGAAAACTAAAACTGAAATGAAACGTAGGAAGAAGCACATACGCAAATGATAAGTAAACTAATGAGCCAATCAATGAAATAAAAAAGTACCAAAGACAACACATAGAGACACGAAATCAAACAGCATAAATTGGTCAAATTGCAATTATGAAGAACAATACGCTCGGGAGACTCTCAAGGTAGCGTGAGAGAGAGAGAGTATTGAGAAGGAAAATGGGTATGAAAGCAGTTAGAATGAGTGTATTGTAATTGATTAATCGTTCTCCTCTCAATAACGTGTGGAAGGCGGTTTCCATCGTCCTCCGCTCTTTACAACCGCTGCATTGTTCTTGTAATCGTGTCTGCCGAGTAGTTAACCGCATAACTGAGTTTAAGAGGATAATTATTATGTTTTTGTTTTTTTTTTTAATTTGTTTTTTCAAGACAGTTTTATACTCTGTTATGTTTTTTTTTTTTTTTTTTACTAATTTGTCCTCATTTTTTTTGAAATTTTTGGAGTTTGATTGTGAAGGAAACAAAAGGGCATTTTAGATTTTCGATTGTTTCATCTATTAAGGCTTCTCATTTTATATATATAGATAGATAGATAAAGAAGGACAACAACCAAAAAAAAAAACACACTAAAAGCGTGTGCAAGACCAATCCTTAAATGGGGCTTTTTTTTTTTTTTTTTTTTTTTTTGGTCGTGAAATGGGCTATTTATTCGGCAGGAAAATGAGGGAGCTTTTCCCCTTGGCGCCAATACCATCATCCTATGCCAAGTAGTTTTCTTTTGAACTTTTTTTATCTAACTTATAATTATACGCATTATATTTCTCTTTCCATACATAACGGAGGAGGAAGAGTTTGCTCATCACCTGGGTGGTGCGCATAAATCAGATAGATAGTGTAAGGCACATAATTTAAGTAGATAGTCTAATGCGTATGATCCAGATAGATAGTGTAATGATAATGTATCTTCATATGGAAAGTATATCAACAATATACTGTCAATATGGTTGAGATACGTTGTCGATACAAGTTATGCACAAAACCATACACATAAAAATGTGTATCTACTCAAGTCTTTGGAAAGACAATTTGACTTTCAAACTTAGATGTATAGGGAAGATCTATGTGAACGAATTTCTATAAAGTTGTGATTTGTGAATGAAATTCTATGGCTTGCATCTGTGGGTGCCCCGAAATTGTGTTTTTATTTCATGCATATTAAAAATACTTAGTGTAATAAATAGTGATTGTACCTATGTTCAGTTCTAGAGATAGTCAATATTTAGTTTAAAAAATGGTCAGTGTTCAATTTTAAGAAATACTCAGTTTTCAGTTTAAGAAATAGTTACAGCACCAGTATTTAGTTTAAGAAATAGTAATAGTACCCAAGCTCAGTTATAGAAATAGTTAGTTTTGAGTTTAAGAAATAGTCAGTAGTCAGTTTAAGAAGTAATGATAGTACTAGTGTTCAATTTAAGAAATAGACAGTTTTTAGTTTAAGAAATATTAGTAGCACAAGTGTTTAGCTTAAGAAAGATTAATAGTACTACTGTTTAGTTAAAGAAATAGTTAGTGTTCAATTAAAGAAATAGTGATAATACTAGTGTTCAGTTTAATAAATAGTCAAGTTTAGTTCTAAAAATAGTAGATATTCATTTTAAAAAATAATCAGTGTTCAATTTAAGAAGTAATGATAGTACTAATGTTCAGTTTAAGAAATAATGATAGTACTAGTATTAAGCTTAATAAATTATTAGTCTTCAGTTAAGAAATATTAGTCTTCATTTTAAGAAATAGTGATAATATTAGTGTTTAGTTTAAGAAATAGTCAATTTTCAGTTTAAAAAATAACGGTAGTACTAATGTTCAATTTAAGAAAGAATGATAGTACTACTGTTCATTTTAAGAAATATTGAGTGTTTAGTTTAAGAAATTGATAGTACTAATGTTCAATTTAAGAAATAGTTAGTGTTCAGTTAAAGAAATAGTGATAATACTAATGTTCAGTTTAATAAATAGTCAAGTTTGATTCTAAAAATAGTCAGTGTTCATTTTAAGAAATAGTGATAATATTAGTATTCAGTTTAATAAATAGTGATAATAGTAATTTTCAATTAAAGAAATAGTGATAATACTATTGTTCAGTTTAAAAAATAGTGATAGTATTAATGTTCAATTTAAGAAATAGTGAAATATAGTACTAATGTTCAGTTTAGTTTAAGAAATAGTGAAATAGTGATAGTATTAGCGTTCAGTTTAAAAAATAATCAATGTTCAGTTTGAGAAATAATGATAGTATTAGTGTTCACTATTAAGTTTAAGAAATAGATTACAACTATTCAGTTTAAAAAATAATAATAATACTAGTGTTCAGTTTAAGAAATAGTCAGTGTTCAGTTCTAAATATAGTTAGTTTTTTGTTTTTTTGAATTGTAATATTATTACTTAGTTTGATATAAATGATGCATGGTTGTATTATTTAACTCGGATAATATGGCACAAACTCAAAAGATATGCCCAAACTAAATTTAGAATCACCATTTTCAAAATTAAAGTAAGCACTGTTTCTAAAACTCAATAATAAAGGTTTTTCTCGATATTGTAGGATTGTAATATTATTAACTAGTTTCTTCTAAATTATGCATGGTTGTATTATTTATTTATTTTTTCCTTAAGTTTGTTGATAACAATTTTATTTATTTTTTGGTATGCGATTAACAAACCATTTTAGTATGTCTTGTAAAAGATGTGACAATACACCAAATGAAAAACATAATAGAGTGAAAAATAATAATAAAAGGGTGAGTCCACATATATAAGGTTCATGCACTAATTTTTGAATTCATGCACTAATTTTTGAATTATATACAAAATAAAAGAAAAAACACAAAACAAACAAGAAGTGGGTTGTGTAGAGTGATGTGAGGGAGAGGGATATGGGGACGGGGACCACCTAAATGATGGCACACAGAATAAAAAGAAAAAAGAAATTAAAAATCTGTTTGTTTATCAATTTCATTATCTTTTATTAGAATTTATAACTAACGACAATATTTCTGACTCCGTCGATAAAAGGAATTTCAGTTTCTTTGATACTTAAAATGTTTCAGTAAACTCCAAAGTTTAATAGAATTTGGTGAATTGTTTTGCACTAGCTTTGGGCATGTAAAGTTAAGGGACATGGAAGATGGATATTATTTGCACTCCAACCGAAACAATGCCTTTCATAGCATTATTTTCTTCCTCAAAATTCTTAGACACAAAATCCTCCAAACAAAAACAATATCCAAAACAAAATAAAAAACCATCCTCAGATTTTACAAATTCCTTCAATCTCCAACAGCCCGTTCACACATTCCTCTCTCTTGAAATATTTCTTGACGAATGTAAAAGTCCCACATCGGAAACCTGACTACAGTGTTGAAGGGTCAATAAAATTGCATCGTCATCTTTGAAAGTCTTGGCGGATATAGAACTGAATTCAGCCTCCTTGTTTTCAGATCACTGTTCACCCTAAACTTCACATTGATCTCCGGGAGGAAAATTTGACGATAGACTTCTTATTTTTCAACGTTGTTTATGGTGATGTTGCTTCAACATATCTGCCAAAGAACCCCATCCATTCTTGCTATTCTTGCTAACAGACTCAGCATCATAAGAAGAAGAAAGAGAAATCCCATAGTTGTGTCGATCCTGGGATTCTAGGCGGTGCTTCGGGGTACTTAGCGACCGTGTCTTTGCCTTGGCAGATGCTGTCACAGCCATGTAATGTTGATCATGAACAGAATTGTTCTGTTCCGCTTCTACATTGCAAAATGATCTCCTTGGCAATACCAGAAATTTTGGGGTCGGTCTTTCCACTGAATCTTCATTTCTCACATGTTGCGGTTTAACTTGTGATCTCCCAAACAATGCTCCAGTACTAGCACTAAGATTTGAATGAAGGATTAGCGTTCCAGTTTCGTTGATGCTCGCTGAATCTTCTAACATTTGCACATTTCTGCTTTCCTGCAAAACACAATAGTTGTACGGAGTTTCAAATTTGCTGTGGGTTCTCCTTTTCCTTGTATATTCTCATCTGAATCAAGATGTTCAGATAATTTAAGCTGAAAAGTACGTTTTACTTACCCGTAGAGAAAAAGAGTATTTCTTCATCCTATCTCTTTTGGTCATAGCCTCTTGCTTTCTTAGCCGTACGGATTCCATGTCTTCCTGTGAAATTATACTGAAATCCCACCCTCTCTGGCTGCTACATTGAAGCTGTCCATAACAAACATCTTGCGTAAATCAATCAATGTAGAGGCGTCATAAATTAGTATCATGAAAAGGAATAATTATTTGTAGATATGAAGAAATAAATTCTCACTTACTGGTGTTTCATTTTCTTCCCACTCCCTTTTTGTCTTGCTGATCAGCTGTTTGTTTTCACCATCACTACATATCTCGTGTGTAGTAAGAATGCTCCTTTGGCAAACCTCTGCCTGCCCCTCATTTCCTTTTCTGTTGGACGGCAAACGCTTCAAAGTGGTAGCTGCTTGTCGTCGTCTCACAGCTCTGCCACGAACAATTGCTTGAACTCGTACGAGTCCTTTCAACGCTCGCAATGCTTTCCTTGCCTGTTTCACTCTAACTTTTAGACCATGCTAATTTCTATAGAGGATCTAATGGTGATTTCTCAATACCGATACTTATTTCAAATGCACGTTTCATTTAATTTTCCCATTAAATAAATAAATTTGAACGAATGGTTATAATAATTCATAGTACACATTGACTACTCATGCATAGATTTCAAGATTATGAATCTGAGTTTAAAGTTTTGAAGAAGCTCACAAGATGTGCGCGATAAACGCTTTGAATTTTAATGGCGGCCAAGTTCCTATCAAACTTTGTGTGATAGTGGCGAGATTTTGAAGTAGTAGTAAGGCGCACAACCTCAGCTGCAGCACGGGCAGCAGCTACTGCTGCCTCTGCTGCAGCAGCGGTTGCAATTGCAACAGTGAAAGCATGTCTTTTCTGCTCTTCTGTTGCTTCACTGAGCAGTACTGCTCTCTCTGATGATGATGCTGTGATCAGTGCAGGCTGTGCAGGGTACTGAGGAAGTACCTCCAACTTCCCGAAAATCCATTTCCAGTTCTTCGATTTCTGGTGATTAATTAGGAAACAAAAAATATATAATGAGAACCAAATTAAAGAGGATCACAACATATGTGTAAATAATTAAGCAGTAGTTAACCTAATTAAGGCAATGAAGGAAGACTGAGAAATAGAATTCAATTCACCAACCTTTTGTGTCTTTGAGTTTGCTTCAGAAGTGAAGAGCTTCTTGACCCAACCAAACCAGCACTTTGTCTTTGCCATTGAACAAGTAGTAAGACCATCTTAAATCTTAATCCATTATGATGTCAACCATCGTCGTTTATTTTTCAGGCGCTAACCACTCGCTGGAGCACTACTGTAACTATATATATACATATATATGTTACTAATTTGTGTGTATATTAAGGTTCGTAGCAGGTACGTATATAATACGAAAACTTAAGGAACATGAATATGTAATACATAATGAATCATGATATATGCACTTGAAAGATTCTAGACTCATAATTCTTCTGTCATGATGCTAAACACTAAACTCTCAAGTCCAAACCTATTAAAACCTACATCAATCAACTTAAATGTATGAACCGTGATACTTCAAGTAGGTTTTCCATGGTTTCTTTGCTTCAAGCCGTCAATCACTACAACTAACAGCATACAGAGAGAGAGAGAGAGAGAGAGAGAGAGAGAAACTGTACAATGGCTGCTGCAGGTACGTAGACGTTGTTAGTTGACGAAGACTGATGACTCATGACAGCAGCAGGTGTGGTGGTTTAAGAAGAAGCACGAGTCTGCTTAACTTCACTGTGGTCCTCTCTCTCTCTCTCTCTCTCTCTCTCCACCATCAACGGTCAATTCAACAACCACCATTGACGAGTCCTAATGTCTGCTTTCATGAAATTACCCTAGCATTAGTTATAATGACGTTAGAAAGTCTAACATGTGCGAGGCCAAAGATCTATGGAAAATAATGATGGTTTTGGTTTGGTCCACTTATAAGTACAACCTGGATAGTGGATACTATATATTGCATGAATTCCTCGACCACTTTTAAAGTTTTTAACATATTACGTAACCCTCTATTTATCTCTTGCATTCCCAGATAATATAGTGGCAAACCTAGCTAAGAATCTGTTCTCAAGCTTGAGTGGCATTGATATGGTCAAAAAATACAAGAATTATGCGTTAGAAAATCGACAGAACAAAATATGACATATTGAGCGAATTTGCTTGTAGTTACACGAAGCGTTTTGTGATAAAGCTGTTACCAATGATGTACCATGCACGTAATAAAATGTAAGTATCCAACGCTTGGCCTATTCTAAACTACTAGTTTAACTCATTATACTATCTTCTTTCACCATTTAAACTAATTCGAAGGACTTGATTGTGTAGACATTTTTTGTATATTAGAAAAAACACTTCATATCAACTTTTGAAAGGGTTTATTATCAATTTTTACAAAACTTTGGTCGGAAGAATGGATAAAGTATTTTCACAACAATGATATACAAATTGCACCTATAAAGTCTATAATTAAAAGGATCGGTCCCCCTCCCTTCCCTTTAATTCTGCATGTAATGTGACACTATATGTGAGGGAGTTTTGACTTGTCAAATAAGAACTTTCGTCACAATCCTAATCCTCCTAAGTGTGACCCGGGCAAAAGTGACACCAAAGTAGCTTTTGAGCTGTTCAGTTTTCCATGATTTAAGACTTTTATCAATGCAGAATTTTTTGCAACTTTTGCTTAGATTGGGCTCCAATGAGTTGTCCTAATAAAAAAATAAAATGACACGTTTTCTAGATAAAACTGAAAAAGGAAAAGTATGAGTTTTTGAAACATAGTGGCTATTTTCTCAACATCTATTTTATCATATAAAAACAGCTATGCAGTTAGTGAGAATTTTATTAATGTTGTTCAAATTCATAAAATAAACGAACTTAAGACTTTTTTTAGAAATTGATATAGACTAGATTATTAACTAAAACACTTTTTAGAAGTTCACTTTTAAAACTGAAATTTTCTTTTCATTTTAATTTGCAATGTGTTAGATTATTGATTGCCTCGATATATTGATTGAAACACAAATAGTACTACTAATAAAATGGAGCAAATTTCTCATCACTGATATTTCATTTCCCCTATTTTATTCTTGCCGACTGTTGCTTTAGAGAAAAGATAAGTAGCCCATATTAAAATCGAACCGCTGCTAAAGATATCTTTATTTATGTATCCCTTAAAGAAGCTGTTTTATATACATGATAAGATTTGGAAACATGAGTCAAACTAATCATCAGTTTTAGGAGGTTGACCCATGTAAGCATGAAAATATTCAATTGAATATGCACTACAAAAAAAAAAAAAAAAAAAAAAAAAACACCTCATCAGACAGATAATTCCCGTCGGCTATACGCTACTTTCGTTGTTGAAGGCTTTAGACGACTAAAGTTCGTCGAAAAAGAGTAGTTAGGCAAAACCCGTTGTCTGAAACCTTGAATGACAAAATCACAGTTCCGAGTTATTTAGAGCAGTGTGTTATTGTCTACACTAAAGTTCGAATTCATCGATTTCATAATTTCTGAGTTATTTAGAGCAGTGTATTATATAATCTCTTACTCAGTTACCTAAAAGGAGAAAAGAATGAAGCATGTCATAATAGCTACATGCATGCACAGCCTGCATTTGCCAACAATATTGATGCATGCATTTCTTCATTCGTGAATATTCAAACTTCTAAGTGGCACGTTAATATAATCTTAACCAAGCAGTATTGGAAGCGGCTGAGCATTTGCTTTATGCTTTCAGGTTAAGGGACAGAAAAGAAATAAGAGAACCAACAATATATTTAAGCAACCTTTTTTTCTTTATCTTTCTTTATGTTGTTTTTTTTAAACTAAACTTTTTGGCTAATTGATTTAAATATTTTTGTACATGTGAACCAATTATGTAAGTGGTCCACTAATTCTTTGCTTTCCAAAAGGCTGCATTTTTTTACTGCAAAAATACTGAAAATGAAAAACACAAAAGGAAAAATAATACACTTTGAAGCATTGAAACATATATAAACAGAAAAAGATTAATACAGTTTATATACAGAGACATACAAATACGGTTTTTTGCAAATATCGGGTATTATTTTTTCATTATTTTACTCTTTCTGTTGGTAGTAGCACTTAAAATTAGAAGGGAATAGTTTTCGAGGACTCAATACAACTTCACTATTTACATTCCCATTCTCCACTCTTATCCAAGATTTAACAGAGAAAGGCTGATAGTTGATTTCCACAATTCTAGCTCGTCTGTCCTAGTTTCCATACCCGCGATAACTGGTATGCCTAGCATAACCTACCCACAGTTTTTCGTAGGGGCAACACCAGGGTAATCCATGGCTGCGTCGTACAAATATTGCCTACCACAACCCCAAAGAAAATTTAATCAATTTAACGTAAACGTTTTACATACACTGATCAAGTACCATCATCTGGCTGTATCCTATAGTTTCTCCATTCTATAAGTTGTGTGACTTGATTTAGATAGAGTACTGCAGGCGGGAAGGAAAATAAGCATTTAGATATACTAGCATATAAACAAAACCTAAGGGGCGAGCTAAGACAAGATGGAGAAAGATACAGAACATTAACTTCAGGAAGACTGCAAGAAGATTGCAATTTTCATGTTTTCGCAATGTACGATTGTCAATTGGAAGGATCGCAATTGAGTTTGTCTGAAATTCAGAATAGATACAGAACATTGACTTTAGGAATCAGCAATATGATATGCTTCTATTACTAATAATTGATTAACGAAACATACGTTTCCTAATATAGAAATTATGGCTTTAATTTGTAATGTATTTCATAAGTTTAATGTACAAGGGGTCCAGCTATATATGAGAAGAAAGAGCAGGAAGAAAGAGAGATAGGAAAGAAGACTAATTACTCTAGTGCCTATGGCTATCCCTAGAGAACATGGTAGCTAACTCTAGAGGCCAAAATACACTTCAACACTTCAACAATATGATATGCTTCTATTACTAATAATCTATTAACATAACATAAGTTTCCTAATATAGAAATTATGGCTTTAATTTGTAATGTATTTCATGAGTTTAATGTACATGGGATCCAGCTATATATGAGAAGAAAGAGGGGGAAGAAAGAGAGATAGGAAAGAAAACTAATTACTCTAGTGCCTAGAGCTATCCCTAGAGAACATGGTAGAAAGATAGGAAAGAAAACTAATTACTCTAGTGCCTAGAGCTATCCCTAGAGAACATGGTAGCTCACCAATCAATCACATCCCTTAAATCAAGGAAAGAATACTAATTACTCTAGTGCCTAGAGCTATCCCTAGAGAACATGGTAGCTCACCAATCAATCACATCCCTTAAATCAAGAAAAGAAGACTAATTACTTTAGTGCCTATAGCTATCCTTAGAGAACATGGTAGCTGACTCTAGAGGCCAAAATACACTTCAACACTTCAACACTCCTCCTCAAGCTGGATCGAGGAGGTTAACTAAGCCAAGCTTGCCTAATAATCGATGGAACTGAGTGGATGCCAATGCCTTTGTAAAGAGATCTACCAATTGATCATGGCTTCGTGTGAACATGGTCCGGATGATTTGAGTTTGAACTTGAGCTCTGATGAAATGACAATCCACTTCAATATGTTTGGTTCTTTCATGGAACACAGGGTTGGCAGCAATATGCATGGCTGCCTGATTATCACACATAAGTGACATGGAGTAGAACTACAAAACCCTAAGTCTGGAAGAAGCCCTTTAAGCCAAATGAGTTCACAAGCAGTGGCTGCCATGGCTCGATACTCAGACTCCGCGCTGGAACGAGTAATTACTTGTTGTTTCTTGCTCTTCCATGTGATAAGGTTTCCACCAACAAATGTACAATAGCCTGTGGTTGATTTCCTATCAATTGCATTACTTACCCAGTCTGCATCTGTGTAGCCACTAATGACAGTGGATTGATTGTTGTGCATTGTAATTCCTTGCCCTATTGAACCATTGAGATAACGAAGGATTCTCTTAACAATGTTAAGGTGATCAACAGTGGGAGAGTGCATAAATTGGCTAGCTAAGCTCACTGCATAAGTGATATCTGGACGAGTGATGGTGAGGTATATGAGCTTGCCTACTAATCGCTGATAGTAGGTTACATCATGCATGGCTTCTCCATCTATGTTGAGGTTCAGTTTACAATCAACGGGAGTGATAGTAGTCTTGCAGTCAAGCATTTTTGCCTCATGAAGAAGGTCCAATACATATTTTCGTTGATGTAGAAACAGTCCTTTTGAAGATGTTGCCATTTTGATCCCCAAAAAATACCTTAACCTCCCCAAATCTTTGATAATGAAAGTTTGATGTAGTGAGAGTTTTAGTGCCTCAATCTCCACGGTACTATCTCCAATGATGATAAGATCATCAACGTAAATAAGAACCACCAACTTCCCACTAGTGCCAGTTCTCACAAATAACGAAGAATCAGCATTACTTCGCACGAATCCAGCCTTTTCCAGAACAGAACTGAGCTTGGCATACCAAGCTCTTGGTGATTGTTTCAATCTGTATATTGCCTTGTGCAATTTGCAAACCATGTTGCATTTGATACCATCATAGCCTGGATGAGGTTGCATATACACTTCTTCCTACAACTCTCCGTGAAAGAAAGCATTCTTCACGTCCATTTGGTAGAGTGACCACCCACAATTGATTGCAACTGAAAGTAAAACCCTGACTGAGTTCATCTTGGCCACCAGTGCAAATGTTTCCTTATAATCTACTCCAAAGGTTTGGGTGAAACCTCGAGCAACAAGTCTAGCCTTGTGCTCTAGATAGATCCATCAGCTTTGAATTTTGTCTTGTAGATCCAACGACTTCCAACAACCTTTTTTCCTAGTGGTAGTTAAACTAGACTCTAGGTATGATTCTCTTCTAGTGCATGAAGCACTTCTGTCATGGCTTGTTTCCATTGTGGGAGAAGAAAAGCTTCTTGAAAGCTTCTTGGTTCACAGTGCTTATCAATTTCACTAAGAAATGCAGCATGAGATGTTGAAAACTTACTAAAGCTGATACATTCAGTGATATGATGCCGTGAGACATATGTAACATAGTCTTGCAACCTAGCTGGAGGTTTTCTGATTCGAGGAGGGTTTCTCTTAATCACCTGAGACTCTGTAGTGGACTGAGAATGATCAGAGTAAGGCTCTTCTTCACTCTCACTGGCAATAATTTGGTCAGTTTGTACCTCTTCACAATCTGGACTCACAGTGACTGATCTTTCTTCCAACATTGGATGATTAAAGTTTTGAGGGAGTGGGAACGTATCAACTAAATCCTCCCCCTGACTTGTAAAATAGGGACAGTCTTCTTCGAACTTCACATCTCTTGAAATTGTGCACTTCTTAGTGACCGGATTGAAGCACTTGTATCCCTTTTGGGTGGCTGAGTATCCCATAAACACACACTCGGTTGCCCTGGCATCTAGTTTGTCATGGTTCAAGGTTTGGATGTGAACAAAACAAACACAACCAAACACCTTGAGGTATGTCAAATCTATTTTCCTCCCCTTGAGAACTTCATAGGGAGATTTAAACCCTAGCACACGACTTGGAAGTCGATTGATGAGAAAAGTGGCAGTAAGGCAAATGACCAAAATTTCTTTGGAACATGCATGTGAATCATGAGAGCACGAGTCTTCTCCAAGAGATCTCTATTTTTCCTCTCGGCTACTTCATTTTGTTGAAGAGTCCCTACATAGCTGGTTTGATGTATGATACCCTGAGAACTTATGTATTGAAGCATGTTGTTGGATAGAAATTCAGTGCCATTATCTAACCTTAAAACCTTAATGTTTGATTGAAATTGTGTTTTAACATGCATGTGAAAATCTTTGAAAATGGTTGGAACTTCACTCTTTGATTTCATAAGATATAGAAAACTTGTTCGAGAGAAATCATCAACAAATAGAACAAAGTACTTAAACCCTTCCATTGATTCAGTTGCAAGTCCCCATACATCGGTGTGTACCATTTCAAAAGGTTTACTTGTCCTAGACATTGAATTACCAAAAGGTAACCTAGTAAACTTAGAAATTTGACAAGTATCACAAGTAGGATAAGGGTTACAAAAATTTAGAAATAGTTTAGACAAGACAACTTCAGAGGGGTGAGCTAATCTCATATGCCAAAGTTGGTTTTCATCTATGGACTTCGATTGAGCTTGAAGAGCCTGAGTGAAATAGGCATTCTTGCACAGGTAGTAAAGTCCATTTATGAAGACCCCTTTACCAATCATCTTCATGGTGAGAACATCCTGAAACATCACATTATTTGGTGAGAAAATAGCATGGCAGTTTAGAGTGTTGGTGATCTTTCCAATTGACAAAAGTTGGAAAGGAAAGCTTGGTACATAGAGGGCAGTGGAAGGTATTTTTTTGAAAGAGTAAGTTTATTTCTCCTTTTCCCAAAACTAAGACATTTTTTTCCATTTGCAACAGACACATGCGAGGGACTTGAAATTTTTTTAAAATGATGTAAATTTGTAACTTTGTTTGTCATATGATCTGTGGCGCCTGAATCAATTATCCAACAATCAGTTTCAGTACTAGTTAATAGGGCAGTAGTGAAGGCTTTGAGTATACCTGATGCTTCTCCCTTTGGAACTTTCTCATTTCCAGCAAGAAAGCCAGCAAATTGTCCCAACATAGCTGTGTGACTACTCTCTTCATTGCCTTGACCATGTGAGCCTCCTCCGTGTCCCTTACTTTGTAGGTAAGCTACAAATTCATTGATCAATAACAATGGATTGGCAGTGAACTCCATGGATCCTTGTGAAATAGTAGGAGGGTGAGCATTAGCAAGTTGTGCCTTGAAATGAGGTTGTTATTGTTGTGATGACCTTGGTATCATCTTTCCATCTTTGGTGAACTTTGGCTTGAGTTCAGGATGAAGTTCCCAACACTTGTCTTCTACATGACTAACACTATTGCAATATTTGCATTTTAGATGTGTGTTTCTTCCCTTGTATACCTTGGCTTCTAAATTCTTGTAATTTAATGCATATGCCCGAGTCTCAGTCAATCTGGGGCTGTGATTAGCATTCATAACCTTCTTCCTTGCTTCTTCTCATTGGATAGTTGCACAAACATTGTTGAAGGTAGGTAGGTCTTGACTCATCAAGATGTGACTCCTTAGGTCCTCGTACTCAGAGCTCAAACTACCTAATAGTTGACAAATTTTGTCTTCCTCAGCTCGTTTTAAGAGAATGGTAGGATTTGTGGTATGTGGGAGATATACATCCAACTCATTCCACATGGCTTTGAGACTCCCAAGGTGTTGAACAAACGCTTTCCCTTCTTGTTGAGCACTGACAATGTCCTTTAATTGGAAAACCCGCGCATAGTTGTTTTGATTTCCATACATATCCTGGAAAGCTTTCCAAAGATCATGTGCAGAATTGGAGTAGCTAAAAATTTCAGCAACATGTTTCTCCAATGTGTTGAGCAGCAATGACATGATAAGTTGATCTTTGCAGAGCCATGCATCGTATGTAGAGGAAGAACAGTTTGGAGCTTCCACACTTCCATTTACAAACCCTAACTTCCCTTTGCCTCCAAGAGCTAGTGAAACAGCTCGGGACCAAGGAAGATAATTGAACTCATTTAAGAGAACTGAACATAAACGTTGATTGGTGTTAACCTTAACGTCCGAGAAGTTTGGAGAGAGACTATGCTGGGTTTCCTCATCATGGTTCACAGAACTTTCTTCAGCCATGACTTAGACTTTGAAAGAAAAAATTCGCAGCAGCAAGAATGGCAGAGACAGGTTACAAAAGAACCTGCTCTGATACCATATAGAAATTATGGCTTTAATTTGTAATGTATTTCATGAGTTTAATGTACAAGGGGTCCAACTATATATGAGAAGAAAGAGGGGGAAGAAAGAGAGATAGGAAAGAAAACTAATTACTCTAGTGCCTAGAGCTATCCCTAGAGAACATGGTAGAGAGATAAGAAAGAAAACTAATTACTCTAGTGCCTAGAGCTATCCCTAGAGAACATGGTAGCTCACCAATCAATCACATCCCTTAAATCAAGGAAAAAAGACTAATTACTCTAGTACCTAGAGCTATCCCTTGAGAACATGATAGCTGACCAGTCAATCACATCCCTTAAATCAAGGAAAGAAGACTAATTACTCTAGTGCCTATAGTTATCCCTAGAGAACATGATAGCTGACTCTAGAGGCCAAAATACACTTCAACACTTCAACACCTAATGAAATTGACATAGAATTGGGAGGGGGTGTATGTGAGTCTGAATACGAAAACAAAGTTCTAAAAGATGTTAGGCGCTAGTCGAGTGCCTAGTGCCTAGGCAGCTAGGCGGGGCCTAGATGGATCAGGCAGATGAAGTAAACTTATTATATATTGTATAACTAAGTGCTTATTTGCCAGGCGGATTAAGTAAACTTATTATATACTGTATAAATAAGTGCCTATTTATAATTAAAAAACACATGATTATATACATAAAGTGCAAAATAAAATGACACAGATTATAGGGGTGTGTCCACACCCCTTTTTACTTCTCACACACCATTATAACTTCCGGCCGTTGGATCAGATGAATTGAAGAAGATCAAAGGACAAAATTTAACAAGGGGTGTGTGAGAACTAAGTATTAGAACATATTGAAAACATGGGAACAAGCATATAATGAGTGTTCATCCAAATATTCAACAACCCTCATACATTTTATTGAAAAAATTAAATGCAAAAAGAAAGTTTTCAATTTTATGTCGAAGTGAGTCGCGACCTAGGCGAGTTTATGCCTAAGCGCACTTTCTTAATTTTCAAACGTATAGGGATTAACTGGAGCAGTGGCCAGCTTCTTAGCGCCTAAGCAGTACTAGGTGGTTTAGAACAGTGAGGAAAATTAGTTGGTTGCTACGATAATTGTACTGCTGTATTATTTTACAGAATAAGCATAAGACAGGTAGCATTTACATATGGCAGGCACAATAAGCTAGAGAGGATAAATCAACGCAACGCAAGTCATTAGAACGGACAAATATCGCCTTCCCAAGCGTGCAAACACGTGTATCGAAAGTAAACGATAGTGTTTCAACGAACCCCATAACAGCTCAAGTTATTAAAAATCAAAGAGAAAAAGTAGTTAAAGTGGTTCGACGAAAACCATCAACACAACTCAAATCTTGGTTTCGTTGTAACTCCGGGATTACCAAACACCTTAGCCAACTGGGATTTGAAAGGAGAATTTAAAACCTAAACACTAATTCCTTGAGGCACAAGTTGCTTCTGTACTCTCTGAAAACCATCACCTCTGAAATGGGGGGTGTATTGGTTTTTATTCCTGAGCTCCTTCAATTAGTTTAAAGCAATGTTTCTGTTATATTTCTTTGGAACGGATGCCGATCTAGTTTATTTTCCTGAGGGATCACTCAACCAGTTCATTCCATAACCCCAAATCCCAACAGGAATACATTTAACAGCCCACGGCACATCCTCGAGACCGTGTCAAAGATGCTGTTTCATCGAAGGGACCTTAGTGTTTGAATTTTGTAACTATAGATTT